TCAAAGCCTTTGAGGAATTGAAGCAAAGGCTCACCACGACACCTATTATTGTCACACCTGATTGGTCTTTTCCTTTCGAGTTCATGTGTGACACCAGTGGTGTAGCTATTGGAACAATGCTTGGCCAATGTCACAACAAGGTTCTCCACCCGGTCTGTTATGTGAGCAAGACACTCAATGGGGCGCAAATGAATTACACGGTGACTGAGCAAGAACTTCTTGACATTGCTTATGCCTTTGAGAAGTTTCGGGCTTATTTGTTGGGATCCAAGGTGATAGTATACACAGATCATGCTGCTTTTCGCTATATCATGGAAAAGAAAGATGCAAAGCCTCGGTTGATTCGTTGGGTCTTGTTGTTGCAAGAATTTGACTTCGAGGTCAAGGATCGCAAGGGAACTCAAAATCAAGTAGCGGATCATTTATCAAGGCTTGAAGAGGCGGGAAGGCCAAAGGGAGATCTTGGAATCAATGATGCATTCCCGGATGAACACATATTGGCACTATCTAGCACTTTTGCTCCTTGGAATGCCGATATTGCTAACTACTTGGTGAGTGACCTTATTTCGGAGGGATTGAAATCCTATCAAAAGAAGAAGTTCTTGAGAGACTGTCGGCAATACTATTCGGGAGAACTATTCTTGTTTCCTGTTTGTGCTGACAACATCATTAGAAGCTGTGTTCCAGAAAAAGAGATTATGTCAATTCTAAAGGCATGCCACGACTCATCGGTTGGGGATCATCATGGGGGAAATCGAATGGCGGCTAAGGTGCTTGAATGTGGTTAGTATTGGCTGTCAATCTATCATGATGTCAATCAAATGGTCAAGGCTTGTGACCAATGTCAAAGGTAAGGATAAATCTCCAAGAGGCATGAAATGCCAATACACTTTGTGATGGAGATAGAAATCTTCGACGTGTGGGGAATTGATTTTATGGGTCCCTTTGTAAGATCTTGTGGGATGAAATACATCTTGGTGGTTGTGGACTATGTGTCCAAATGGGTTTAAGTAATTGCCTTACCAAACAACGAGTCAAGAAGTGTGACCGCATTCTTAAAGAAAAACATATTCACTCGGTTTGGCACTCTTAGGGCAATTCTTAGTGATGGTGGGTCTCATTTCTGTAACAAGGCTTTCACGGGGCTAGTAGAGAAATATGGCGTCAAATATAAGGTGGCCACACCTTATCATCCCCAATCAAGTGGTCAAGTTGAAGTTTCTAACCGAGAGATAAAGAGCATTCTGGCAAAGATCGTCAATGCAAATAGGACTGATTGGTCAAGGAAGTAAGATGACGCATTGTGGGCATACTACACGGCATACAAAACTCCTATTGTCACTTCTCCTTATCGGTTAGTCTTCGGAAAAGCTTGTCATATACCCGTAGAACTGGAACACAAAGCCATGTAGGCTCTGAAGAGGTTGAACTTGGACTGGGTTGAAGCTGCAAATTTGAGGTTAACACAACTCAATGAAATGGAGGAATTCCGTTTCCATGCATATGAAAGTGCAGCTGTGTATAAAGAAAGGATGAAGTTCGTCTATGACAAAAAGATCTTGAAGAGGGAGTTCAAGTCGGGTGAATTGGTTTTGCTCTTTAACTCAAGGCTCAAATTGTTTCCGGGCAAGCTCAAATCAAAATGGTCTGGTCCATTAAAGGTGGTAAATGTCTCTCCTTTTGGAGCTATGGAACTAGATTCGGAGGATGGACGCCAAACCTTCAAAGTGAATGGCCAGCGAGTCAAGCATTACTTGGGCATAGATGGAGAAAAACATTTGGTGGAGTAGCTGGCTCTCAAAGATGATCTGTGCCCAACCAATGAGTGAATCCAAAGGAACGCCCACTTTGTCATGCTGCGACGTTAAATCAAGCGCTTCATGGGAGGCAACCCATGTGTGGTAACACCCTTTTTGGCCTTTAAATTTCTAATGTTTGTTAAATAAATTTAATTGAGTAATTTAAAGTGTGTGTTAGAGTACAGGGGATTCAAAAGATCATAACACGGGGGTAAGATTGCATGAAAAGGGGAAGAAAAATCACCTTGGGTAGTTTTTTACACATATGCGGTCGCATTTTCACTATGCGGACCGCATTTTGGTCGCAAACCAACACAGTGTGTTTGGCTAAAATTGGTGATACAAATGCGGTAAGTTGGTGCACTTTGCAGACCGCATTTCGATTACACAATCGCAAAGTGCACCGCATTTTTGGCCCTCCAGCAACTCTCTTGATTCCACCGCATAACACTTATGTGGTCGCATAGTGTGTTATGTAGTGACTTACCCACCGCAAATTGTTCCGGTATACCCCTCGCATTTCTTCATTCAAAACAAACAAAAAGAATTTTTTTATGTATCAGAAACAAAACAAAACGAAAAAAATAATAGAAAAGGAATGGAGAAGGCAAAATGGCTAGTGCGAGAACTAATCTTCCAAGTGTGCTCATAAACCCGTCACTGGTTTGTTTTCTTTGTCCCAATTCCATCATTGCCAGCTTTAGTTTGTATATTTTTTCTTGTTTTTGTTTTCCTGCTGTTGTTTCATGTCTCTTTTTCTTTCTTTCTTCTTGCTTATGTTTTATAGTTAGATGTCTGTTCATAATGTGATGTTGGTTAAGTAATGTGTTTTGGGGTGCTGGGTAGTAAAAATTAGGACCGCCATTGTTGAGGGTTGAGTTCAATCGTTGGGAACGATGAAGTTTGCGGCTCGCATAATCAAAATGTGGTCTGTATTTTTGCCGCATAAGTGAACCCTAGCTGGCTGAGGAAGATGACCAAATGTGGTGACTTTGTGATCGCACAATTGATATGCGGACTGCAAAGTCACCACATACTGACCCAGAACACCCAGTTTAATACCATGCTGCCTGCGGCCATTTTGCGATCACATTTCCAACTTTGCGGTGGATTTTGCTATCACATTTAGTGATTTATTTTTTATCAATCAGGTATGTGATGGTTATGAGATCGCACAACCCATCACATACTTAGATCATTTGACTACCTTGATAGTTTGCGACACATTTGCGGCCCACTTAGTGGGTATGCGATCGCATAACTTGTCGCACTCTTAACTTTTTCTTGAGTTTTTCTGTTTTCTTTTCATTAATGCCTACCATGTTGCTCACGTCTCATTTCTATGCAGATATGGGTCCCAGGAAACATCCAGCCTCTGCCCAAAAAAGGGCCTCCTCCAGTCGTCAAACTCAACAAGCAAAACGATCGCAACCGGACCCTACTGCTACATTTCCCTGCCAGTCTGATGAGGAGGAGACTTGGCCCGAAGTTGACCTCCAAGCTGAGGCACAAAGGAAACGAGGAGATGACTTCCAGCTCAGGTTTAGGGTCGAAGGGTCCAGGGAGCTCTATAGAGAAAAGCTGAACAAATGAAAAATCGTGGCCGAAAAACAACTGAGTATGAATGGGCTACAAGAGCAGTACCCCCACATCTGGGAGAACATCAAGGCAAGAAAATGGGAGCACTTCACGGAGCTGCCTGATGAATATAATGAAACCATTGTCCATGAATTTTATGCCACCCATGGAGCCTCTAGGACTTCTTATCACAAGCGCAACAGGGTTTTCTGTGATACTATGTTAGTTCGGAGGAAGAGTGTGTTCTGCAGCAATGAGACTATAAATGAGTTTTACATCCCTGACTGGAGCCCGGGGCACAGCTGAATATGCCGCCAAATGGGCAATCCGGGAGAATGAGCGGAGTTGGATAGCATCTATGATAGCAAAGGGGACCCCTGCTTGGATCAACCCTATGCACAAAATATACAAGAAGGATCTCACACGAGAGGGTCAGTTTTGGCTTAGCTTTGTCACCTCTCGACTGGTACCGTCAAGAAATGAGACTGATATAGGCATTGAGAAAGCTCTTCTCATTGCATACATTATGGAAGGAATAAGGATTGATGTGGGTGCTCTTATCTTCTAGGAGTTAGGGATTTGGGAAAAGCAGGTAGCCACTTCACTTCCATTCCCCTGTTTGATCATACCCCTTTGTAAGGCTGTGAAAGTCCCCACTATGCCACACACCGACAAGACATGGAAGGCGCTGAAGGATATTGATATCACGCACATTAGTGATGTTGTTGCTCCCTAAGAGGTTTAGACTCAAGGTACAGTTGACATAGAACCTTTAGATTTCTAGGCTCATATGTCCCCTCAGGTTCCAATTGCATGCACTTCTACTTCACAGCTTGCCTCTCAGTCCACCACTGCTCAGACCTCTGCTGCACTGCCAGCCGTTTCGAGGCTTGGTCTCATAGCTCAGCCTGCCATTGCTAAGGTAGGCTAGCCTCTGAAGAACTTGCTCACCCTCATCAAACAGGCTTTGACTCCTATTCAGTCCTCAGTGACAGCAATCCAACAACAACAAACATTTTATGGGGATCGTCTGCAACAACTTGAGTTGAGGGTTGAGAAAATAGAGTGAGGTGAGGTTAGAGACTTTCCTAGGCTCCGGGAGAAAGTTGCCACTGTGAAGACCGACCTCCACAAGATGAAGACTTTGGAGTTCGATCTATCATCCTTCCTGCCCAAGGAAGGTGAGTAGAGAGCAGACACAGCAGCACCAGGCTTTGACCTGGACTTCTCCACTCTGATGATAGATATTGCACCTCCGACTGCCGGGGCTTCCCAGCCTCCACCTCCTCCTGCACATATTGAGATTCCTTCAGAGGAGGATTCCGGACATTCTATAGAGTTCGAGGGTGTGGGGCAAACGAGGGAGAGGATGAGGAGGATTCATGGTCCACGGAGGATGATGGCCCTCAGGAGAAGGGCAAGCAGATTGCTGCCTCTATAGTTTAGGATGAGGAACAAGCAGCAATTCAGATAGCAATACAATATTCACTAGTAGATATGGCCTCCCCTACAGATCTATCGGCCACTCAGCCATCAGCGGGCGAGGCTAGCAGTTCACAGGCCCCAGCTCCAGTATTGGGTCAGCCAGATATCCCTCCTCCATCAGCGGAGGTCACTCCTCAGGCCGAGATCTCATCGGTCCTAGCTTCAGTATCAGAGGGTAACCCCACCATCACTCAGACGGCTTCCAACTCCCATAGCGCTTAGTGCACCTCAGGGAGCCCCTAAACTCTATTTTATGTTCTTATGCATTGGGAACAATGCATGCGTTTTAGTTGGGGTGGTAGCCTTCTANTATATATATATATATATATAAACAAAAAACAAACAAACAAGTAGATAGTTATCCATTTTTAGTAATTAGCAATGAATTCCCCTTGGTTTTTCTTTGCCAGGTTCTTTTCAAAGGGTGTTATAGTAGAACCAGGACTGTAGAATAAAGCATGTCGACCGGTTTGGTATACTTGTTTAGTTTCAAGCATGTGTGTCTGTATATAGCATATACCCTTCCATTAATATATAAAAAAAAGAGATATCAGTTGTGTGAACTTGAGGATCGCTCTATGACTCTATGTTTACCTAGAGTTATACATGTATATATGATGAAAGCTTTTAGTGGCCAAGTTTTGACTCGAGGGATTCAAACTGTGTAAGCCAAACAGTTCGTGTGCCATGTGTGTGAGTTCTTTGTGTAAATAATTCTTGTGTTTACATCTGCCATCTAGAACTTGCCCGGTTGATTTTTCGATGCTTATAATAATTACATTTGGTTAGAGAAATGACCTTAGGCAGACTTTGTGATTTTTGGAAAACCAGTTAGCCTTTCAAGCCACCCATTGTACAGATAGTATCACTAGTCACCCCATTTGAGCCTTTAACCTGTTCTTTGGCTACCTCATTACAAACCTTTCCCTTTTTGTGAAATAATTCCCTCTTTTGAACCCGTCCCTCCTTGAGCATTGAGAATGAGGCTAAAATCCTAAGTTGGGGGTGTGGTGTCAAGCCGGAAATTGGCAAGGTTGTGCAATGAGCGTAGGAAAGTGTACCTCAAAATGTGAAACTACTCAAGCTCCAAAAGCAAAATATAAAAAAAAGTGTAAGAGTTGTGATTATTTATACATAAGGAGCCTTGAAGAGAATAAAAGAGGTAGTTGAGGTGGCTAAATAGTGGAAAAGTTGAAGCTAATGAAGGCTATGTGGTTTGAAAAGAAGCAAAAAGCAACAAGAAAGAAAAATGTGATTAGTGTTCAAGGAGGGTGTAGTCACTTGTACCCAAATACTTATCCGACCCTTCCCTAAACCTACATTACAAGCTTAAAAAGTCCTTATGGGATCTCCAACCGAGCGTTCTTAGAATAAAGCTATGAATTAAAGTAAGGGCAAGTTTATGGTATGGTATGTTGTAACACTTGAAA